TCGAAGAAGGATTTTAAAAGTTTTACCTCTATTTCACCTATTTGGCCCGGTCCTTTTGCCCCCTGGGAGACCACATCCACTGCTTATATAAAATTGAGTCCCCTTGGCCCAAGGATGCTCCAGACTAAATTAGGATAAAATCCCTTCATCCCTATGGTAGAAGGATTTTAAAGGTTTTACCTCTATTTCCCCCTATTGGGCCCCGCCTCTCTGCCTCCATGAGGGTTAGACATGCCATTTATACAAAATTGGTCCATACCAAATTTGGACAAAATCCTATCATTCGTACAGATGAAGGTATTTCTTCTCTATTTCCCCTAGTGGGCCCCACCCTTCTGCCCCCTTGGAGACCACACCCACTGCTTCTACAAAATTGAGTCCCCATGGTCCAAGGATGCTCCAGACTGAATTAGGATAAAATCCCTTAAACCCAATGGTACTGTGGAAGAAGGATTTTAAAGGTTTTACCTCTATTTCCCCTATTGGGCCCTGCCCCTCAGGCCCCTGGGGGGCCAGACCTACGGTTTATACAAAATTGGTTCCCCTTCACCCAAGAATGCTTCAGACCAAATATGGACCAAATCCTTTCATTCCTACAGAGTAAGAAGGATTTTAAAGAATTTGCTATGTTTCTCCTATTGGGCCCCGCCCCTCAGGCCCCTGCTGGGCCAGACCTACGGCTTATACAAAATTGGTTTCCCTTCACCAAAGAATGCTTCAGACCAAATCCTTTCATTCCTACAGAAGAAGAAGGATATTTTAAAGAATTTGTTAACTATTTCCCCTATTGGGCCTCACCCCTCGGCCCCAAGGGGCGGAGGGGGGGTGGCACACCCACCATTTATACAAAATTGAGTCCCCTTGGCCGAAGGATGCTCCAGACCAAATTTAGCGAAAATCTACTAGTAGTGTTTTAAAGGAAATGTTGACGGACGGACGATGGACGCTGGACGATGGACGCCGGATGACAGACGCTGCACCATGGCATAAGCTCACTTCTGGCAGGTGAGCTAAAAATGTAGGAGAAAATCTCCGGCCAAAAAAAATGAATACTGAAATGAAAAAGGCCAATATCTTTTGCAAAAATCGTCGAATCAAAATTCTTTTTTGGGAGACACAACTTTATATCATGATTATAATGTATACCAAGTTACAAAGAGATCCATTGTAAAAAAGTAGGAGGAGATTGCCAGACAAAAATCAAATACTGAAATAAACAAAGGGCAATCACTTTTGTAAAAATTGTTGAATCAAAATTCTTTTTAGGGAGACACAATTTTATATCATGATTTTTATGTATACCAATTTTCAAAGAGATCAGTCAAACAAGAGGCCCAGAGGGCCTGTATCGCTCACCTGAATATGTTTAAAATAATTGGTAAGAAGTAGGTGCTGTAAGTGCATATGAAATTCCAGAAAGATCCATAGAGTACTTGAGATATAGTGAGAACAAACTTCAAACAGAGCCCCATCCCTAGGGGGGGTCATACCCACCAATTATACAAAATTGAGTCCCTCTGACCCAAGGATGCTCCAGACTAAATAAGGATAAAATCCCATAATCCCGATGGTCGAAGAAGGATTTTAAAGGTTTAACCTCTATTTCTCCTATTGGGCCCCGCCTCTCTGCCTCCAGAGGGGTCAGACACACCATTTATACAAAATTGAGTCCCCTTGGCCCATTGATGCTCCAGACTAAATTAGGATATTATCCCTTAATCCCTATGGTAGAAGAAGGATTATAAAGGTTTTACCTATATTTCCCCTATTGGCCCCGCCCTTCAAGTCCCAGGGGGGGGGGGCACACCAACTGTTTATACAAAATTGGTTCTCCTTTACCCAAGGATGCTCCACACCAAATCCTTTCATTCCTACAGACGAAGAATTTTAAAGAATTTGCTATATTTCCCTTATGGGGCCCCGCCCCTCAGCCCCCAGGGGGGCAAGACCCACGGTTTATACAAAATTGGTTCCCCTTTACCCATGGATGCTCCACACCAAATATGGACCAAATCCTTTCATTCCTACAGAAGATGGATTTTAAAGAATAATTTGCTATGTTACCCCTATTGGCCCCCGCCCCTCAGGCCCCTGGGGGGGCCACACCCACGGTTTATACAAAATTGGTTCCCCTTCACCCAAGGATGCTTCAGAACAAATCCTTTTATTCCTACAGAAGAAGAAGGATTTTAAAGAATTTGCTATATTTCCCCTATTGGGCCCCGCCCCTCAGCCCAAGGGGGGCAAGACCTACCGTTTATACAAAATTGGTTCCCCTTTATGCATGGATGCTCCACACCAAATATGGACCAAATCCTTTTATTCCTACAGAAGAAGAAGGATTTTAAAGAATAATTTGCTATGTTACCCCTATTGGCCCCCGCCCCTCAGGCCCCTGGGGGGCAACACCCACGGTTTATACAAAATTGGTTCCCCTTCACCCAAGGTTGCTTCAGACCAAATATGGAACAAGAAGAAGGATTTTAAAGAATTTGCTATATTTCCCCTATTGGGCCCCGCCCCTCAGCCCCCAGGGGGGTCACACCCACGATTTATACAAAATTGGTTCCCCTTCACCCATGGATGCTTCTGACCAAATATGGAACGAATCCTTTCATTCCTACAAAAGAAGAAGGATTTTAAAGAATAATTTGCTATGTTTCCCCTATTGGACCCCGCCCCTCAGGCCCCTGGGGGGCCACACCAATGGTTTATACAAGATCAGTTCCCCTTTTCCCAAGGATGCTTTAGACCAAGTATGGAACAAACCCTTTCATTCCTACAGAAGAAGAAGGATTTTAAAGAATTTGTTATATTTCCCCTGTTTGGCCCCGCCCCTCAGCCCTTCGGACCAGGTGAGCTAAAAATGTAGGAGGAGATTGCCAGACAAACAAAAGTTTACGACCGACGGACGGACGGACGGATGGACAGACGGACAAACCCATAACATAATACTCCCGTCAAATTTGTCGGGTGTATAATAACAAGAGGCCCAGGGGCCTTAATAGCTCACCTGGTATTTTATTTTTCAATTTAAAACCTGCTGAGTACCATTCAGGTTTATCAAAGGAGTACAAGTAACAAAGTTGCATCTTCCATTTATAAATATTCAATTCCCTTTGCCCAAAGATTCTCTAAAACAAGTTTGGTTAGGTTAAAATCCCTTCAACGGTACAGAAGGAGAAGGATCTTTAATGTTTTCCTCTATTTCCCCTAATGGGCCCCACTAATCTGCCCCAAAGAAGGGGAATCCACACACCTCAGTTTAAACAAAATTGATTCTTTTCTCCCTAAGCATGCTTCAGACTGCATTTGGTTTAAATCCCTTCACTTGTATAGTAGGAGAAAAAAAATCCTCTATTTCCCCTATTGGGCCCCGCTCCTATGCCGCCAGAAGGCCCACACCCTCCGTTTATACAAACTTGAGTCTCCTTTGTCCAAAGATGCTCTAGGACAAATTTGGTCAAAATCCTTCAATTGGTTGAGGAGAAGATTTTTAAAGATTTACCTATTTTCCCCTATTTGGCCCCGTCCCTCTGCCCCCAGGGGGACCATACCCTCCGTTCATACAAAACTGAGAACCCTTTGGCCAATGATGCTCCAGACCAAATTTGGTCAAAATCCCTTCATCGGTACAAAAGGAGAAGGATATTTGATGTTTTCCTCTATTTCCCCTAATGGGCCCCACCCATCTGCCCTTAGAAGGAGGCCCACACACCTCAGTTTATACAAAATTGATTCTTTTGTCCCTAATCATGCTTCAGACTGCATTTGGTTAAAATCCCTTCACTTGTATAGCAGGAGAAAAAAAATCCTCTATTTCCCCTATTGGGCCCCGCCCCT